TTTGGCAACAGGTTTCCAGACTGCCTTGGCCTTTATCTTGCTGGGAGGATGGGGGGGGGCAGTCGGCAGGGAGTAGCAGGGGGATGGAAGAGAAATCCCCTGTCCCTGCCTGGGGTTAGGCAGGGGGAGAGATGCGATTCCTGAAAGTAAAACTCATCCCCCTGCTCCGGAAAGAGGTGCCTTCCACAGCTCTCCCCCCAACACCCCCCTCCCGCCCACCCCACTCCCCTCCACTGGGAAGATGCCTTTGCAGTTAGTCTTCTGGCTCCAAGAGCAGGGTGGAATAAGAGCACCAGTGTTTAATCTTTAACGCAAAGCTGCAGGTGGGAAGGAAAAAGAAAGCACCAAATCCCCCACCCGTCTGCCGGTCAATAATGGGTTTGGGCGGTGGGGGCCAAGCCACCACAGGCAGGTTTCTGTTCCAATGGGACCCCGGTCACCAGCTCAAACTGTACCCAAGATTTGGAAGGGGTGCTGGGGGAGGAGCTGGCTCCCAGCCCATGTGGGTGTCATTGTACAAATTCTAAAGTTGGTCCCTTAGGATCAGCTGCGGGGGATCGGGAATCTGTAACAGCAACCACCCCACGGAGAGCGGATTACAGGAACCAAGTCGAGAGCCGGTTCCCAACAATGAGGTTCATTTAAAAAGTCCTGTGGGGGGAGGGGGCAAGAGAAAAAGAAATAGATCAAAGAGCCAGAGAGCTGGGAAGAGAAGGAAGAAGTGCGGGGAGAACTCAGGTAGCCGCCAGGGCAACTGGAGTTTGGGAACGAACGCGCCGGGAGGGAAAGAAGCTGAGATTCCCAAGTTTTGATGTTTCTCTTCAGCTCCTCGGCGTCCCTGCACCCCAACCCCGCAGCCCTGGGGCCCTGGCAGCTGCGCCGACTGGAGAAGCAAGCTGGGGAAAGAGAGCAACATGACCCAACGTGTTTAAAAGAAGGCAAAAATACTTCAGCAATTAAAAGTTGCCTAGCAGCTTCCCTATTCCTTTAGGAAGAAAACTGGGGAGAGGTAGCGAAGAGAAAAATTAACGCCCATGGACTTGTTTCCCTGGGTCCACTTACATCGCCCTCCTTGAACATTCCGAGCTTAAAACTTGCTTTTTCTCACACTGGCTGGCAAGCTACACGGCTTAAGGACGCCCCCATTAAATCCTTCCTCGCGAAGACCCCCGAATTCACACCGGCATTTGTTATCCTGTCCCCCACACCCTCCATGGCTGAGAGCCGCAGTGCCCCAGAAAACAAGCAAACGGGTCCACCTAAGTCCCGCGTTCACCCCCAAAGTTCGCAGCACGCCCGCCTATCCCAGGAGGAACCCTGGCCGAGCCGGGGACAACTGAAGCCCCACTGCAATTTTGCAACATCCTTTTGAATGACAGCTCTTGGCCTATTTTTTTTCCCCCCCGCAGATTCCAGCCCCTTCAAAACAGGAGAATCTCCAAGGAAAACGTCCGGAGACTCACTTCACCAAGGGAGCCTCTTCCCAACCGCACCCGCCGGCAATGCGCCCAACTAGACTCGAACCCCCCGACGGCGGCGATGCCCCGAGCACACACCGGGAAACCGAGCGCACTCGCGAAACTGGGCTCAAGCAGCACGTGATCACCCCGAGCGCCCCGATCCAAGCCGGCGCCTGGCGCCCCTCGGGGAGCCCCGCCACACGAACTTCACCTCCGAACACTCCGGTCTCCGGGCTACATTCCCATGCAGCCCGCGAGCAGGGGCTGTTGGAACTCAACCGGTGGGGCGGAGAGGGCCAAATTCCTTCAAACTGGGGAGGAGGGGGGACCGCGGCGGAAACTGAAAAACTACCCGAGCGTCCTCCCTTTCCCTCTGCTTCCCCGGACATAAACTTTTGGGGGTTCTCTTTTTAAGGGAAAAGGGAAAACCTTTGAAAAGCAAACGCTCCGCCCCAATTTACCTTGCATAAAACTTCGCTCAAGTCGAAGATGGTGGCAGACACGAGGGTGGTGGTCATCGTGGGCGCTCGCACGGGGCAGGGCGAGGATCTGGCGTGTGCGCGAAGGTCCCGGTGCGGGCAAGGCGCAGCCTCCGGCTCTGCGGTCAGGAGTCCCACCGGCCTGCTCCCGGGGCCCCTCGCCTTTCTGACTCTCCCCGGCTGCGGCGCGCGAAGACCGATTTATAGCAGATCAGGAGAGGAGGAGTTTAAACTTATTTAAATAAGGAAGAGGAGGAAAAAAAAGTTGATTGACACTGAAGTTGAATCAGCCATGCGGTCAAACTCGGGGGGGGGGGGGGGGGGGGAACTTTCAAAAAGAAGAAGGGGGAGGGGAAACGTGAAAAGTAGGCGAGGGGAAAAAAAAAAAAACCTCCCAGCCGCGCTCAACTTTTTTTTTTTCTTAAAGAGGAAAAGTTTGCAGTGCGCCCGCTTCGCTAGCCGGCGCCCTTCTCCCCGGCCGCGCTCCTCTCCTTTGTCAGCCGGCGATCTGGGTCCTGCAACATCACTCATTCCACCCTCTTCGGGGTCCTTGTTGTCCTGTTGTTTTTTTGTCGGCCAGGAAGGCGGGCTCAACTTTCTCTTCTTGCGAGCGGGAGCCGGAGCCTGCCCTGAGCCCCGCTGCCGTTTCCATCTTGAGCGGATCTTTCTTCAAACTTCTCCCAGCGCCTTCCGAGGCTTCCTCTGCCACGACTTGCTCTTTCCGAGTGGTCGTCGGCTCTCGGCTCCCCCCCGCAAACCCGGCAGAGCGAGGAGATTGGAAATTGGGGAGTTTGGGACACACAAGGCCTCCCACTCTAGGGCTCCACGTTTGCTTTTTTGTTTTGTTTTGCTTTTTTTCTCCAGCTGGCGGGAGTGGGGCTGGGGAGGTGGGGAAGGCCGGGGGTGGTGAAAACGACCACCGCCCGGGTGGATTGTTTGTGTTAACAGGTTTGGGAGTTCTATTTATTTCGTGCACCCAGTCTTTAAACTTCTTTATAAAGTAAACCTAAATCCTCATGAACGCCCTCTCCTCCGCCCCCCCCCCGCCCCGCCAAAACCCACCCAGCAACACAACTTTCCACGCGCGCTCTGAACCGGGGCCGCGCCGAAACAGACGCATGCACACACGCCTAGACGCTTGAACAATGAAAAAAGTTACTTTGACAAGAACGAAGGCAAAGAGGTGGGGGAGGCGACACTTAACTTGTTGTTCCTCCCCCGCCCCCTCAGGAACGGAACATATGGCTTGTCACGCTGCGCTGTTTGGGCGGGATGGGGGGGGGGCATGGGATCCCCGAAACCGAAAGGCCTCGGATAGATTGTTACTCCTTTCAACACTGTAAACTGTATTTATTTACTGCTATATTCGGATGCCCCTCCACTCACCCAAATAAAAAGTTGCTAACGTGTTCCCCACCCGCCCCCGCGCGTTCTCGGCTGTGCCGAGACTAGGGCCCCGGCGGAAACCGCAGGGCTGCGTTTTTCCAATTCCCCCGCGTGCCCGGCCGCCTGCACAGCCCTCGCACGTTTCTTCCCAGCACTGGAGGCCGCCGGGTCTGTTATGAAACCCCGTACGCGGAGTGGCTAAGAGCGGGTTCCATTGCGATGTAATTAGGTCACCCCATTATGAGCACGTTTCTTTGGAAAGGACAGGGCGGGCCAAGCAGAGCGCCGGAGTCGCACTCTCGCCACCACTAGCGCCACACACGCGCACACACACACACACGCGCGCGCGCACACTCACATTTTACTGCATTTCTTATTTACTCGTCAGCCTCCGGGCAAACCCAGGCAAAACTTTCAATCACCCAGGCAAAACTTTCAATCACAACTGTTCTAGGAACTGGTTTTTCATCTCTGCGAAACACACAGCTTGTGCTGCAGCGACAAACCGACGGGATCCCCAGCGCGGTCTGCTTTCATTTGTCCGTCTTCTTCGACTTAAATTGATCGCCCCGTTTTCCACCCGGCTGCCGCCCCCTGCTTTTTCTTCTGCGGCTGTCCGGCCGCCTGTTGCTTCCCTCCCTTTGCTCCCCTTTTGCAGCTTTTCTTGAAATCTGGCAAGCGCCAGAAAGGGAAATAACTTCCATCCACCTTAATTTCAATCAATCAAATGTAGGTTTCTTTCTTAAAGGAATGTTTGCTCGCCCCTCTCCCCAGCTCCGAGGTGGGGTGGGGGTGGGAGGCGGTTTCGCGCAGTTTCTTGGCGATGAGGTAATGAGTTCCAGATTTCAGCGCAGAGTAGGGCGCGCGTTAAAACCACAGGGTTAGTCTGCGTCCTGATGTGAAGCTATTTCGGGTTTTCATTTCCCAGCCCCCCGCAAAAGGGCCCATTGCTCTAACTCTGGAGGGTTCAAGAAACTGCTGGGGGGAGGGGAGAGGTGGAGAAGCAGGGGTGAGGGGACCCGAGGCGGGCGCAATCTTCCTCCCCGCCCAGGGCCGGGCCCGCACCCACTGCTCCCCCTCTCCCGGGGGGCGGCGCTTTTCCCCGCGGCTGCGGGACCGGCCGGAGCACCAGCTTGCGGCCTCGGCGCCCCGGGCTAGTTAAAAAAGCCTACCCCGCCACCCGCCCTCCAGAGAGAACGCGATTCCTCGAATTTCCTGCGCTTTTCCAACTCCCAGAAGGCGCTCCCCTCCCCCTCTCCCGGGACGCGGGCTCCGCGGGGCGGCGGCCAGCCTGGCCCGCTCGCCCCGGAGTTGTTTACCGGCCCCGCGGACCGACCGGGTTTGTTCCAGCTCTCAGAGTCGGCCTCTATAATTAAACCCTTTTTTTAATTGTCGGGTTCAAACGTCATTTCGGGGACTTTCCAAGGGTGAGGGAGCCGAGGGGAGGGAGCGAGCCTCCTTAACCCTTCGCTGACCCGGCGTCCACGCCGGGCGCGCGGGGAGCAGCGTCCAGCAGGGCCGGGGAGGGCCGGGGGCATCGGGGCCTGAGCCGGCCCGTCCCCGCCGAGACGTGCCCCGCAGGTGCCCGAGGGTGGCGGAGCCGCGGCGAGCCGCGACCCGGGCAAGAAGCCCGACGGGAGGCCTGCGCGGCCCTCCCCACCCCGGGCGCTGGGCGGCCCGCCCCCCGGGTCCCTCCCCGCGCCGCGCGCAGAGGCCGCCCCGTCACCTGCGCCGCCGCTTCCGAGCGGGGAGGGCGGCGGCGGGCCAGGCCCTCCGGCCCGGCTCGGCTTCCGGGTGCTCGCTGCGCGCTCGGGGCCGGGCTCCTCGCGGAGTGGGCCCAGCCCGGTGTTTTTGGCTTCGGGGTATTAGGTGTTGCAAAAGGGGGAAAGTGAAAGTCCTCGGAATTAGGGAAACGCGCCGGATATATTCGTTGACCACCTGGACCCGGGGCGCACCTCGAGGCAGGTGAGAGTGTGGGGCGCTGGGCCCTGGACCGCAAGGCCTGGTCGCCCGGCGCTTTCCGGGCGCTCCCCCCGCGGAGTCCCACGCCGGCCCCGGCTGCAGCTTAGGATCTGCCGTCGCGGATCCCTGCGATGTTACAGTTCCTCCCCGGCTTCAGTTCAGGTCATTCGCAAAATCCCCCAAATTCCTCGGATTGCCCCCCCCCGCCGCCCCCTCGGCCTGAAACCCTGGGACAGCCTCAGAATCCCTGGATTAGAAAGGGGGCGGGGGGGGGGGCAGTGCTGCCAGAGAGGTGCCTGGTTTCGATTTAATTTTGGTGTTTGTGGAATGCAGATTCCTCAGGTTGGACCCAGGCCTAGTGAGTCAGATTTTGGGGGCGGGGCCAGAAATCTGCATTTTAGTAACTTTTCTGCTAGTGACTCAAACTCTGAGGTTTAAGATTCTGTGTGTCAAAGCCCTGGCCTGGCTGGTGTAGCTCAGTGGATTGAATACTGACCTGCAAAGGGGTGCCCAGTGGATTCCCAGTCAGGGCACATGTCTGGGGTCACCAGGGGCAACCACACATTGATGTTTCTCTCCCTCTCTTTCTTCCTCCTTTCCCTTCTCTCTAAAAATGAATAAATAAAATCTTAAAAATTGGGCCATTCTGAATCCAAACCTTGGCTTTGTGACTTTTCAAGACACTAACCAAAGCTTCTGTTTTCCTCATCTCCGAAACAGGGAAAATAATAGGCTAAAATTGGCCAGTAAAGTACCTAGTGTCAGGTCTAGCTGAAATCTTTACTGTGCCTAGCCATAGTATGTAAACCAAACCATTCTTGGGGCCTCATGACCCCACCAAAATTCTGGGGAGTCTTCATTCCGCAAAAGGATTCTTCAGGATTTTGTCCATGAAATGACCAACTGACATCTGTGTCACTTTCTGATCCCACCCCCATCCCTGGGTAAGGCAGGCCCTGAGGCCTGGAAAAAAGAGAGGACCCTAGCTGCAGGGTCTAATGAGTGAGCACTGGCCTCAGAGTCAGGAATCTTGGATTCTAGAGCTGCTCTGTCTGGCTCAGCGAACCATTCTGTCCTCTGGGCTCCACTGTTCTGACCTGGAGACATGGAGAGTGTTGGACTGGACAGGTGGTGGCGTTCAAACACCACTCTGAGTAGAATTACCTGGAGAGCTCTTGAACACATAAACATGTGCCCTGTCTCACTCCACCTTGAAAGATTCTGCTGCAGTTGGTCTCGGGGCAAGGCCCAGCATTTGTATTTTCTAAACTCTTCAGATAATTCTTTTACAAAGCCAGAAACACTAGATTCAGTTACTTTAGAGCGGCAGTTCTCAACCAGGGGTGACTTTGCCTCCCAAGGGATGCTCGGCAACATCTAGAGAAGTTTTTGGTTGTCACAGCTGGAGAGGGAAAGGTCAGGACTACTGGCATTTAGAGGGCAGAGGCTGGGGTGCTGCTAAACATCCTGCAAGGCACAGGGCAGTCCCCATAACAAAAAGATTTTTCTGGTCCAAAACGTCAGTAGTAGCAAGATTGAGAAACTCTATTTTAGCACTTCCCCCCAATTCCAAGCTCTCCGCATGCGTAGTTAGGCTCCATCCCCACCCCCCCTCAAACCTTTCTCCATGGGGCAGTCCAAGTGACCTTTTTCAAAACCCAGATCTGATCTCGAGTTGCAACTGCTGAAAACCCTTGGCTAGCCATCCCTGCTCGAATAAGAACCTAACTCTTAGCCCAACCAGATCAACTCCACTATTGCAGCCTCCTGTCCCCGACCACTGCCTCGCCCACCCCTCAGGGTACCATTCCCGAGGCTCCAGTCACTTTCTGGTGACAATGAGCCATCCTTCCTCCCGCCCCAGGGCTATGACACACAGGGTTTCTTCTATCTGAATTGACCTTCCTTTGACCAAAATCAATTCCCAGTCATCCTTTAGAACCCAGCTCAAGCATTATTTCCTCAACTGTTCTTGGTTCCCCACTCCCACCATCAAGGCAAAGGCGCCTGCTTTCTCTCTTCTGCCCTCACAGAATGTTTATTTCCTTCCAAGTAGTTAGTTCAGTTTGCGAATAGACATTCATTCCTGTAAACGTGGACCTTTTGATTTAACATGCAGTAAAATGGACCTTTATTTGGTCAGTTGAGTTCTACCAATGTTACCACGTTGATAGATCCACACGACCACCACCCGACCAGAGACAGAGTAGTTCCGTCCACCCTCTGTAGCCATGTCACCTGGTCTCTTCTTCTGTCAGCCACCCATCTGTTTTCTATGCTGCACGTCTGCCTTCTGAGTGTTGTGTAAGTGGGGTCTGCAGTCTGTGTGACTTCACACAGCCTAATGCCTTTGGGATATACCCACGCTGTTGCCTGTGTTGATAGCACATTCCTTTTAATTGAAAAATAATGTTTCACTGTACCTGTGTACCACTGGTGTTTTGTCCGTTTATCTGTTGGAAGGCATTGGATAATTTTCCGTTTGGGGCCATTGTCAATAGAGCTGCAGGAAACATTTGTATCCCGATTTTTGTGTGAACCTAAATTTTTATTTCTCTAGGGTAAACAACTAGGAGATTATCTATTTATCTCCTAGTTAAATAAAGGGGATGCTTTCTTTAATAATAAATAATGAAATAGTTATTTAGTGGGTTTGGGATTGCCACTATCCCAATGGGGATTGATTACACATTGGAGTGGGATTGCTGGGTCATATGGTAGAGTATAGTGAAATGTGTAGACAACTGCCAGGTCATGTTCGAGAGTGGATATAACATTTTGCGTCTCCAAAAGCAATATCTGAGACTTTCCAGTTGCTCTGCTTCCTCACCTACACTTATAATTGTATTTTTTATTTTAGTCATTCTAATAGATGTGTAGTGGTATCTCGTTTTAATTTGCATTTTTCTAAGGCATAATGATGTTGGACATCTTTCGAAATGCTCATTTGCTTTCTGTATGTCCTTTGGCGAAATGTCTGTTCAAGTCTTTTGCCCATTTTTAAATTGCTTGTTTGTCTTCTTACTGTTGAGCTTTAAGAGTTCTTTATATACTCTAGATACTGTTGCTTTGTCAAAATGTGATTTGCAAACATTTTTTTCCAGTTTGTACCTTATCTTTTCATTCTCCCAACGAAGAATGTTGACAGAGCAAAAGTTTTTAATTTTGATGAAGTATAACGTACCGGTTTTATCTACTCCGCATCACGCCTTCTGTGTCACATCTAAAGACTCTTTGCCTAACCCTAGGTCAAGATTGTCTGTTTTCTTCTAAAAGTTTCACAGTTTATATTTTACATGTGTATCTATGGTCCATTTGAAGTTAGTTTTTATGTAAAATACGAGATTTAGGTTGAGGAGACCACCTTCATTTTTTTGCTTATAGACATCCAATCCCATCACTGTTTGTTGAAATGACTATCATTTTCCTATTGACTTGTGTTCGCATCTGTCCCAAAATCAGTTGGCGTATTGGAACAGGTCTCTTTATTTTGTCCCATCGATCTGTGTGTCTGTTCCTTTGCCAGTGCCACCCTGTCTTGATCATTATAGGTTTAAAGTAAGTCTTAAAATTAGGTGTTGTAATTCCTCTGGCTTTATTCTCAATTTTCAAAATTGGCTTAACCATCCTAGTTCTGTTGCCTTTTCATATAAATTTCAGAACCACCTTGTCTGTCTCTACAAAAAATATATATATATATTTTTTTATTGGAACTGCATTAAGTCTGTAGATCAACTCAGGAAGCAGTGGCATCTGTGCAATGTTGAGTCTTCTAGTCCATGGACATGGTATGCCCATTTATTTAGGTCTTCTTTTATTTCTTTCATCAGCGTCTCCTAGTTTTCAGCATGCAGATGTTATATATGTTTTGTTAGATTTGTACCTAATACTTCTCTGTTGGGGGGTAACTACTGTAATTTTTTTTTAATTTCGGTTTGCAGTCTCTCAGTACCAGTTCATAGAAATACAGTTGATTCGTGTGTATTGTCCTTGTTCTCTATCATCTTAGTCCTGTTAGTTATAAGGAGGTTTGGGGGTAGATTGCTTGAGCTTTGTTTTTACATGTTTGCTTTGTTTTTAAACATAGATGATCATTATCTGCAAGACAAGAATAATTTAATTTCTTCCTTTCAATATTATGCAGTATATTTCCTTTTTCATTGCCCTGTTCAAGGCTCCCAGTGTTGAACGGGCGGGGTGAAGGTGTGCACCCTTACTCTCATCCCATTCCTGGGGGAACGCGTTCAGCCTTTCGCCATGGAGTATGCTGACGGCTGTCGCGTTTTGTAATCATTTCACTTTCTGACGTCTCCCTTCCCACTGAGATGCGTGCTCCCAGAGCAGGCTGTCTCTACTTCAACTCCATCAGTGCCTGGCACAGTGCCCAGCACACAGTAGGCCATCAATAAGTAATTCTCTACCTTAGTAACTTTGCCATAATCGTCAGTCTGTGTGACAGACAACACAGAGTCTTAGCTGAACATGCTGCACAGATATCACAGAAAACATATAACCACACAATAAATGCTCCAGCGGATCCGACCAGGCGGTGGCCCGGTGGAGTTGACCGTGTCAAGCTGTCGAGCATCTGGAGATGGGCTTGCCAGCCCGCCGTCCTGTGTCGAAGACTCCGTCCATGAGGAGCGGATGACTGCAGCAAAACAATCATTTTAGAATGAGAGCATTCCATTGCCGAAGGGAGTTCAGACAAAAACAGGGGCTTTCGGGGCAAAGAGTCCCACTGCTCTGAAACCTTAGGCCCTCAGACGGGTGGGGTTGTTTCGCTAAATTTATTTCAGCCGCTTATAGAAACAGAAGGGGGAAGAAGGGGGCGGCCGCTTGCACACCAGCCCTGGCTCTGGGGTATTAATATCTGCCAGGTCAGGCTTTTATTTGGGTTTTGTTTTACCTTTTGGGGGTGGGGAGGCGGGCAACAGGAATATCTCGCAGCTGCATTGGCTGGAGCTGTGGTTTCCCGCCTTTCTCCCTGTGCGCTCCACCCCCACCAAGGCCACATCCAGCCCACTGCTCCCCTGCCTCGCCCCCCATGGCTCACTGTCCGCTCCACCCAGCCCTGGGGTAGGGGGGGGGGCTTTTCTCTGCGGTCTCACAAAGACACTGTTGACACTAGATGTTCTCCCCTTCCCAGAACGGGTCTGAGTACGAAGAGAGAGAGAAATTGAGACTGGAATTGAACCTGCTTGTTTTCTGGCACAAGCGTGGACCAGGGAGATGGGAGCCTTCATCCTCGGCCCCCACCAGGCCCCCCTCCCCAGTCCCACACCTCCACCCGCAGCGGCTCCGTGACCCGTGAGTTGCTGCATGTGAAACCCAGGCCTTTCCACCCCTGTATCCCTTTTCCTCTGCATCCCCAGAGCACTGGACGCACCTTCTCCATACCCGATACCTCAGCAGTCTTCAGTGTCACCCACCCAGCCCCCTAGGTAGAGAAAGGAGTTAAATGAAACCACTGTGTTGTTTTTTGAAAACCTCGTCTTGTGCTGGATTTGGCATGCTGTGTGGAGCGCAGGTCAGTTACTTCCCATAGATGGGGGAAACTGAGGCACAGGAGGGGCGGTGGCCACAGGCAGCCTGCGCCCACGGCAGGGAGGTGAGGTCAGTGAGCACGGGCTGGCTGTAGGAGGTGCTGGGCCTGAAAGGGCCAAAGAAAGGCAGGACTCCGTGTGTGGGATCTGGCTGCTCTGTGCACACTGTGTGAAGTGCCCACAGGGAGGAGGAGACGCACAAGGAAACTCAAAATCTGCTGCTCTTGAGACCTGAACGATTTGATTCCATGAGACTATGGGGAAGTACCTCACACAGCACCCAGCCCATGGGAACCCAACAAATGCTGGTTTGATTTCTTGGCAAGCTTCTGCTTCCTGGGTCACCGAGAACAAAGGGGAAGCAGCATCTGTCCTCTCCACTGCCCCAGCCTCGAGGAGCACTGCACAGGGACTGCTGGAGGGGCGGGGGGAGCCTGCTGTGGGAGCTGGGGAGAGGCCCAGGATGAAGCATCTCTGGAGGGGTTCTTGCTCCAAACTATCTGCTTCACCATCATCAGGGGAATAGCACATACTTATAAAGTGCTCACAAGTAAACCAAGTTCCCATTTGTCCTAACCCCGGCCAGTTTGCCTTGGAAGGATCCCCTAGTCCGGCCTGGAGCAGACCCCACCCTGGGGAGCTGCTCCTTTGAGGAGCAGGACCCACCTCCCCAGCCAGAGCAGGGATCAGACAGCTCTTGGAGGGTCGCCACGTGGGCAGCCGGCGGAGGAGAGAGGATGGATGTTTGCCATGGCCCCGTGACTTCTTTAGATCTGAGTTTCTCCCGCCAACTGCACCCTCCACCCCAGGGCAGGGGTGGGGGGAGGGAAGAGGGATTGCAGGCCCCCAAACCAGGGCCTGCTCTTGTCTGACCAAAGGCAACCAGACCTGCCGCAGCTGTTCAGTGAGAGAACAAGCTCTCCCAGAGACCAGGGAAGCAGCTGGAGAAAGATTCCTGCCAGCCCGGGGGCGTAAATATTTATACAACGTGGTGCGTGGGAAGAGGCCAGGCAGAGGGAGGTGGCAGGAACGGCAGCCCTGAGACCACAGGTTGAAGCAGCCTGTGTGTTAGCCTCAGGTGGGAAGGGTGAGTGGTAGCTGGGACCCTAATCTCCACCCAGATTCCTACATCAAAGAGACCTGGTCCTTACCCCCAGCTCTCCTTGCAAAGTTGAGGGAAGTGCTTAGAAAAAAATGTGTCACCACTCCCCTAACCAGTCTTCCTGTCCAGGACAACCCTTGAACCAGGGATAAACCAAATCCATAGGGCCTGGGAGTAGAGGCCTGGGGGCTCCTGGGTCTTATGGTTCTAGGGTCTTAAAGAATACTGGATTCCAAGAGTTGGACTCTAGGGTGGAAGGCTAGAAAACAAGTAAACTATAAGCAGAATATAAAGTATAAGCAAAGCTTTTTCTCAGCCTTTTATATTATCAATAGTATTTTTCTAAAGTGGCAGAGAACACTGTGCATTGATGAAGAGGATGAGGAGGAGTGGATGGGACCTGGCAAAAGAACAAGGTGTGGAGGGCGAGGGGGCCCCTGATGGCACTGGCAGAGAAGCCTCTGGCCACCACCGTCGCAGCACCCAGGAAAAGAGGGCAGCACGATGGACGTCCGCCTGGTGCTCTTGGGTGCAACGCAGACCCAGGTGTGCTCCAGCAGAGCACTGATGCTCACCCCGCAGCCGGGCCTGCCGAGGACTCAGCCAGCACCCAGTGGCACTGACACCCCGGGGTGGGAAGCAAGCCTGGGCCTGGGGCAACAGCCAGATGGACTCCAGTCAGTTCGCCTCAGACAGCTGGGGAGCAGAGCCAGGGCACTCCTCACGCCCCTCCCCACCACTCCAGACCAGGAGGGGTGCGGCTGCAGCTTCTAGGGTTTCTCTGCCATCACGCCTATAGAGAAGTGCCACCTGCTTCTAGCAGTACCAGAGCTGACTCTCAGGACCTCTCGCAGGTGGGGTTTGTGTTGCCCCCAAGAGCCTTTAAGATACCTCACAACCATCAGCCCCATTCTTGCATTCCCCCTGTGTCCTGAAAATGCCCACTGGCCAGGCATGGGGGGGCCTTGGACAGAGGGACCTTCTGCTGGAAAATGGCCTGTGTCTCCCCAGCAGACAGCCCCAGATGCTCAGGCCAACTTCAGCCAGACAGCAGAGGACCCCAGACTCCCCCAAGAGGCAGACCCCGTGCAGCAAGGCATCCCCCCCAGAGCACAGAGCCCTACAAGTGACATGTGCCCAGGGGTGCACCTCCTCTGAGCCCCAGCCTTTTGGGGTGGAACCTGGTGAATCCCCCGCCTGTACACCCCCCTGAGCCCCAGCCATTCTGTGAGGAACCTGGTGAATCCCCCGCCCATACAGCCAGAGACGGGCCGGTTCTGTGGTTTCCCTGAGCAGTGGCGCCCAGGCCCACACAACGTGGACGAAACACCATCTGCCCCCAGCCCTCAGCCCTGGCCTGGCAGCCGATGTCCACCCTCACAGGGGGAGCCTCTCTCCAGAAGGAAGCTCCTCTTCAAAGGACACCGGGGGCTGGGGGAGGCTCTTCAGACACCCAGGTCCTCTTCTGCCCCGTGGCCCTGCCTGCCGGCTGTGGCCTCCTCCTTGCCAGCACTGCTTCAACAGATGAGCAACAACAAAGCCTGTGTGGCCCAAGGAAATCTTCAGGGGAAAGAACTGAAGCTGAAGGAAAAGGGCGGTGGTGGGGGGAGGGCTATAAGAAATGGGAGAGGAGGGAGATTCGGGAAACAGACAAAATAAACCATCCGGGAATCCAGATGTAAAACTCGGAAGGCCAAAAGAAAAGAAAACGTATGCTAAGGAGGCGGTGTAGGGTGGGGAGGGGAATTGAGAATGAAAAAGGAGAAGGGGGCAGTGATAAATATTCTGCAAAGGGAGAAGAATGCGAAAGCAAACAACACCAGGAAAATAAAAAGTAGAGGCCCGGGAATGAAAAAGAGGCAGATATGAGTTTGAAAGAACTGCTTTGCCCCTCCACCAGCCACGCTCATTAGTGTTCCCAGTCCTGCTGCTCCTTGTGGATTTCAGCCTCTTCTGAACACTGAGCAAAGACCATTCGAGAAAAGCACGCTTTCCACCTTGCCCCTGCTCTTCCTACAGTCCTCCCAACTTAACTCAATGTTACTGTTTTGCAGCGTGAGGACCGATCTTCCTGAGGCAAGGCAAAAGCCCTCTCGGGTCGCCCAGTCTGGCGGCTTCCACCAAGGTGCCCTCTGGAGACTCCCGGGAGCATCTGAGCATGAGGAGCCCCAGAGCAGGCAGGGGAAGCAGTAGGTGTGATGGAGGGAGCCCTGTTATCGGCTTTGCATCTTCCAGGGAGGACCAGGACTAAAGGAACCCACAGCAACGCCATCTCGGAACAGCAGGGAGCCATGGAAGACTGGCATACGCAACTCTATGCACAGCCAGAGGTGGCCTGGCAAGTGCCGCTTTTGGAAACAACTTGGACGATTTAATGAATTTCCAGGCGAAGTGACCACAAACTGAGCGCTTAGAGACTGGTTCCATTCTCTTTGTCTGCCTGGCCTTGTTCAGCCCTCTGTGGCCTCGTTCTTCTGTGAGTTAGAATGCCTCACGATGCCTCTCTTCTCGGTTTTTGCTTGGGCTTTTCCATTCTTCGTACTTAATCAAACCCACCTCTGCTCGCTGTTCTATTTCTCCAGGGCAGCAGGGGTTGGGAGAAGGCTGAAGCAAACCAAGGCAAAATTGAGAAGCCAAGGCAGTAAAACTGCAAGTGAGTTTGATTTAGCACACAGCTCTGGCGTCCTTGGGCCATCTGCAGCAGGGGCGGTGGGCTCCTCACGGACGGGGGTCTGAACCCCTCCAAGCCACCTAAACCTATTCCTCCCCAGCTCAGCCAAGGGGAAGCCACTCAGGCTGAACTTCGGTCAACTGGGACAAAGAGAATGGTGCCCGTGCCAGCCTTTCTCCCTCTAAGATTTCTTAAGGACTTGACCTTGCTTGTGTACATTCTCTAAGTCACATTTTGCTTCTCTCACAATCCGAGAGATGTGACCAAATGTACAGAGGGATAACGTCTAGGTTGTGGCCTTAGATACTCAACCCAGTTTCTCCCCGTCCTTCCTCACCTTCGAACCTGTCTCAGCCGTATAATCTATGACTCAAACAATTATTTAACCATGAAAAAAGACAAACCAGGAAATTAGAGGCCGAATGACCTAAAATTTATTCCATTCAGCTGAGCTAATCTCCTAATAAGGGTGTGTATAATAATAAGTCATAATATATCTGTTCTGGAAGACGTGAACATTGCAGGAAGAAAGCGCCTGGTGACTGCACATCCCGACTTGTCAAGATTTGTCCTCAAAAGGGTGAGTGCCTGGTCCTTAGCCAAGTCGCCCAGCCGTTCGCCGGACGAGCCTCAGCATTTCGGACCCGTGCGCTGCAGTGGGGAGCACCCAGCGCTCAGGCTGACCGTGCTCCATTGCTGGCCCTGCCACTTCCTGGGCAAGCCAGGGGCTCACCTGCCCTCCCCGAGTCTTCTCCACTGTGAAATGGCAGTGACAGTAATACCGGTCTCCCGGGGCTGCTGTAAGGACAGATGAGCAAAGCACTTGGCACATGCGAGCGGCCCCCCTCCGTAACAGCACCCCTAGTCAACTGTTGCTGTATGTTCAACAGTGAATTGGCAAGACCACGAAGGTTGGAGGCCCCACAAAGTGGGGTTCCACGGAGTCACTGGAACAGAGTCAAGTATCCTGAGCAAGAGAGAGCAGAAGGTCCCAGAGGAGGCCCAGGCAGCTGGCGGGTGGAGCGCTGAACGGAAAGCCAAGGACAGCCACTCACAGCCGGGACGTCTGCGTGGGTGGGAGGACGCAGGGGGCTGCCCTGCGGTCCTGCCGCATTAGCTCAACGGGGCTGCAGCCCCACCCTTGCGGGGGTCCATCGGGCCGTGAAACTCGGCTCACACTGACCCTGCTCGCACGACGCGCAGGCTCTAACCAGCAGAGAGCTGCAACGCATGCGCAGAGTGAGCTACAAAGTGCTTGGTGGCCGCAGACGCTTAATAACTGAGCGCGTCTATCCCAGTTCAGAAATCTGCCCTTTAGGAGCTAGGTTGTAAGGACGTGACCAGATGCTGAGAAATTTTTATTTCAGAGCTGAGCCTTTTTTCCTTAAGAAGAAAAGGCAAGAGTTTCTAAAGTGTTCTGGAAATGTGAACACCAACTGAATCTTGGTGATATTTAAGTGGTATTATTAATTTTTAGCTGAACCGAGGAAAATGTGGTTAGTGTAACGAGTCCATTTTTTAAATAAATTTTATTTAGTTATTTTTCAAGTACAGTTTTTTGTCTATTTCTCCCATCCCAGCCTCCTTCTCGAGCCCATTTTTTAAGAGCTACATACCAAAATACTGATAATGACATGATGTGATATATAGGATTTGTATTTTGCCGTGTATAACGCGCACCAATGGTCTTTGTGCACATTACACCAGGGTTTATGTGATTATTATACATATTTATAATACATGTCCTTATTTTTCCCTCAAAAATTTGGGCAAAAAAGTGTGCATGATACATGGCAACAATATACGGTACTTCAAAATTACGTGGGAGTCAGGGAGGCAGATGGCGACAGAAGTGGACCAGTGTGACCAGGACTTGGTGATTTGGTGATGGGCGCAGGGGGCGTCATCATGCCACTCTGTCTCCTTCTGTGTGTGTTTGGAATTTTCCATACTAAACTGTTTTCAGTTCATAAATGCTAAACGAATTTTCACTCAGGGATTCTTGTCTTACTGGGTCTGGTAACACGGCATTCGCTTCCGGAGGAGGCGTGCTCTTGCCGCAGAGGAGGCTGCGTGCGGAGGCCTCCGCGGAGCTGGGAGGGCCGCAGGACAGGCAGGCGGGCGGCCACCCCGCGCCTCGGCCCCCTCCCCCTCGGGGCCTCTCAGGCTGGGAAAAGCCTTCGGAGGGCCTGCCGTCCACTTCGTGCTGCTTTTGAACTGAATGAAAATGACTTTTAAATTGGTTTCGATGTATTTTAAACCACAACGAACTGTTTTTTACCCTAGCAGCGTGGGCAAGCTGCTCAACCTTTCCAAATTCGCTTTCCTCAACTGGAAAATGGGGGCCATCACCCAGCCCCCATTGTCTAGGGTGAGGGTAGATTGGACAGATGTGCACAGAGCACCCTAGTGCTAGTCGGCCCAGTGAAAGGGCAGCCTTCAGAGGGGTTTGGCAAACGCTGGCCTTTGGCCTCCGAAGAACGCAGTGGAGCCATCCGGTCTTGGGCGCTCAGTCTGAGTCGTAGATGCTGCACTTAAACATCTGCGTGGAAAGTCGAGGCTCGCGTACTCTGAGCTCGCTTTGACGCAGGTGTCTTTCTGGATGTCTGCCCGCCCCTCCAGGTGTCGCCCAGAAGTCTTCCTCCCCTCGCCGAGGAGCCACCCCTGTTCAGAACAGGGCTCTGCTCACATGGTGCCCTGGCTTGGAATGTGAAATGCATTTCGAGAAAGCAGACCTTCAGCAGATCAACTCATCCCCAAAGACGCAGCCAGGGGGGTTCGGGTACCCAGACCGAGAGCAGGCCCTGCTCTCAGAAGCACCCTTTGCATGAAGGTTTCCAGACAGCAGGGGGCAGCACAACACACCCTCCCCAATCACAGGGACCTGCCAAAGGGCTGGGCAAGGTGACCCGGCCACGGACGCATTTCCACGAACAAATCTGAGTAGCCACGGCACGCCGAGGGAGGAAGGCCAGGCGCGGGTCCTGCACAGCCAGTTTTTAAGTCTTTGCCACTTGTCCCCAGGCAACTGGGAAGTGGCTTCCCGTGAGACAAGTTTCAGGCAGAAGCCGGTATTTGTGACTTCAGGTGAGAAACGGGGTGGGTCCCATACCAACCCACCCCACAGCCTCTCCTTGCCGCCACTGCCCACTGTACCCCTGTGCGGTCTCTGTACCTTCTTCCCGAGGAAGAAACAGAAGAACAGGAGGGAAGGAGGGGCACCCGAGGACAATGTGCCAATGTTCTCGAGAGGTCCTTGGGCTTGGGACCCTTGACACGCGTTCATGGGACTATTCTAAACTCCCGAAAGCCTCCTGGCTCCAGAGAACAGAGCCGTGTGAAGACAGGGGTGAAGGGCACAGGCTTTGGAGTCACCATGCCTGGGTCCAAATCCCAGCCCTGCTATTTACCAGCCCTGTATCAGTGGGCAAGGTACTTAGCCCCCTGTGCCTCAGTTTCCTGCTCTGTACAATGAGGAGGACAGTGGCCGTATAGGGCAGAGCTGTTGCTTACGACAGTGGCTGGCAAGTGGAAAATTCTCAGTGACTATCCGCAAGGCCTCCTCAACGCAGTGGGGATGTGCTGCCGCCGACCCCCACAGGTCCCGGGAGAAATAACTGCACTAAAGGAAGTGTAAAGTTTTCGTAGAAAGCGGCTCAGAGACGTGCATGGGAGACTGGTCTCAACACAGACCAAGAGCCCCCCCCCCCCCCCCCAAATTTTTGCTTCTTTCCATCAAAATGCAGCAGCTCAGGTAAACCTCCAGGCTATGGAGGCTACATGGAGGAGAGCCCCCCTAAGGCTGGAGCGGGAAGGGTTTACCCAGCGTTTTCCTGGAGGGGGAGAGGGAAACTGGGACCGGGCACAGCCCTCCTGTGCTCGCTTTGGTTTTTGTGCAGGACAAGCAGAGGGCGTCGCTCAGATCTCAGCTGGGTTAGGTGCCTGGTGTGGGCCAGAGGCTCAGAGGCAGGCAGAGGCTGCCCTGTGCCCGACAGGCCTGCCCCAGAGCAGCAGGCAGGGAGCCCGCGGCCTCGGCAGGGTTGGGCTCCGCGGAGAAGGGGAGGAAAGAGTTAAGCCCACTCTGGATCTGGAGGAAGGCTCTGCTGCTATAAACAGTGAGCCGAGGGAGGGAGGGAGCTGACACAGGATGTGGCCAGGGCTCGAGCTGTCTGATTATTAACTTCACTTTTATTTGGAGGGGGATTCGATTCTCTGTTTTACTTCCCATCAAGGAAGTGAAAGCCCAGGTCTCGGAGGGGCCTGGTTTCAAATTGTTTTGTCACAGCTCATTTATTTTTCCTCTTAAATAAATAAACAAAACCACCTCTTTGTTTTCCCCTTAATGAGCGTTCAGCAAATCATCTGTGGGTGAGGCATGAAAGGGGTTCTCTGGAGTCCTCCGTAGGGCACTTTTGGCCGCCTCACAAAGGAAAAGAGGATTCTTCCCCAGCCTCGCCTTCCCTCCGAGACTCTCAAGGCAGTTGCTTTTTTCCTGCCTCCTTGCAAGGTCTCAGCCCCAAATCAAGACCTTGAGCCCAGTTCCCACCTCCCTTGGCTGGTTCTTGGGGCCTGATGTGCTGGCAGCCGTCCCGCGTCACGGGCGCCCACCCAAGGCCACACGGAGGAAGTAGCCAGTGCAGGGCTCAGCGGTTAGTCCTCTTGGTCAAGCCAGGGCCCATGGTTTTGGTTCCTATGGCGCCCTGATATTTACACTAAAAGCAACTTAAAGCCAGTGCACAACACAAGAGGATTCCACGACAGGACTGAAGGGAACACCGGTACCTGTCCCTCTGCCCACGGTTCAAAATATGCAGGGACTTAGCTTTCAGCACCAAACCCGTTCAACAATTTCACGATGCTCTTGCGACAGTTCTCTCCTAAATGACCCACGGGTGTGAGGCCCCAAAAGACCTAGCTCACGGCGCCCTCGGGGCAGCACAGAAAACAGGAGTGGCCCCCGACAGAGGCTCGCGGTGCTGCAGGTGGGCACACGGAGAGAGGCAGAGTCAACTGGGAACAAAGGAAGGGAGAGGGAGGAAGGCTTCCCAGGAGAGCTGATATTTGAGTGGGGCCTTGAAGGGTTGACGATATGAAGGAGAAAGAATATTCTAGAAGCTGAAAAGTACCCAAGTGGCAGAGAGACAATATCAATGTGTGAACCAGGTCAGATGGAAGACACCAGGACGGCATGGCCTGGAGGGCTTGTGGCTCTCCCCGAACAGCATTCCCAATGGACGTCAAAGCCGTCCTGTGGGGAGGTGGTGGAAGTTGAGTCGGCCACGAAGATTCCACTCCGGGCTGCCAGTCCTTGACCCCTGGCTTGGAGACGGCAGGACCTGTGAAGGAGCTGCACTTTGGGTTGTGAGCACCGCCCTTGGATAAGCCCTCTGCTGGCCTGACCCTGGGCAGCTGACAAACACCTGATGTCCAGCAGGAGCAACTTTTGCTTCCTCTGACTTTGTGCCCTTTGAATGCGGGGCCGGAAGAACGATGACTGGAACAAACCCAGTTCACTTACAAAAGCTTGGGCTCCTAATGGCTAATGGAACTCAATTTCCCAACACCCCCAGGGGAAGTTGCCAGGGTCCAAAGTTTTCTTAAAGTGCTTAGAAATTCCTCCCCATTCCCACAGCATTTGAGCCTCCAGACCCTATGCTGGCCCTCGGGCCAGGAGAGGGTTAAGCTGCCCTCGAAGATGGCCGACTTGTTTTGCACTTCAGAGGGGGTCACATGGGAGGTTGCCCTTGGCCTCTGGGGGTGCAGTCAAGGTCCTTCTGTCCTCCATGGCACTCTGCCCCAGGTGACCTGACGGCATCTCCCCTGGATGTCCCACAGTCCCTGGCCTCAGAACCTTCCAGGCCTGAGGTGGGCCAGACTCCAGTAAGAGGCCACGTTCTGGAGGGACGAAGCAGGAAGGGCCCCTCAGAGACACTAGGGCCGGGGGTATACAACATCTGAGCCCAGTGGGCCAGAGCCGAGGCTGCTGTCTGGGACCAGATCCCCCTGGCTGAGGCACCCCCATCAGCTGGTCTTCCATGCAGGCCTCCCAAGGCTGCTCCACCTGAAGCCTTCACACAGGCTCCATGGACGTGGTCACACTGCCCTCCAGTGGCCAGCCTACCAAATAGCACTTGTGGGCCCTGCGTGGGGTCCCTGGACATGGCCCAGCGTCCATATCCTGGGCTGGCCCCTGGTTGGATGTGGGCTGCTACATTTGAAGATGTGGCTGTGCTTGTCTCTGACTGTCCTTTGCCACAGTGGACGCTGAGAGAACAACAGGGGACTTGCTTCCTCCAGTGGTTCTCAAACTTGAGTCTGCACCTGAATCCCCCGGAGACCTGGTTCAAACCCAGACTGCCGGCATCCACACCCCAAGGCAAAGAACTTACTTTTCCAACAAGTTCCCGGGTGCTGCTGTGGCCGCTGGCCCCATGGTCCTGAGACCACATTTGCAGAACTACGGGCTCAGCTCTGTCATCTTGCCCCAGGGGTTCAGGTGCTCACTCATTGACTAATATAATGCACCCTGTGGTCATGCAGGACGAGAA